CCACAGGGGACTTATGCGTGATATACTCCATGTGCTATGTGATGTGCTTCCGATACCAGATTCCCTTCATAAAACTGAGAAACATATTTAAATTCGAGGAGAGGGTGTGTTGCTTTCAAACGTTCATTCGCAATGTCAAGGGAGGCTTTATTATTAATTTTTTTTTTTTTAAACTTTCTTGTTTTTAAATCTGTAGATAGTTTTTGCAACATTCACAAATATTTTAAGACATTTTTATGTTTATACATTCTTTTTAAAGATACAAATATTTAAGTAATGCTCTGTTTATAATAAACAGTATTAAACAGCATCTACCGGCCTGAATGTCCAAGAAATTTTCACAAAAAATATTCGTCCTCCGTTTTCTGTGAAAATTTCTCGGACATTCAGACCGTTAAATGTTGTTTAATACTGTTTATTATAAACAGAGCATTTACTTAAATATTTGTATCTTTAAAAAGAATGTATAAACATAAAAATGTCTTAAAAATAATTGTCGGGCTTTGTCCATTTCATTCCCAAATATACTGTCGCTTATTCCGTTTCATCTGGCGAGTGTGGGCACGGTTGAGATGTAACTCGATGCGATTTTCTTTTTTCATGTAGGGTTTTAGATAGAACGCCTCGCCTAGCGAGTAGATAACTTTTTAAGCTAGTACCCTTGGAACATTTAACAGACAACCGAGATTAATTAAGACTCTTGGTACAGACATTTTAGCCAGGTCTTGAAAAGAGGTTGGAGTAATACGAACCGCCAGCAACGCCCAGGCTCACTCCAATGGGGAACAGATATTCCTAGATGGTTGCTGATGGCATCACTTTAACTTAAAGTTAGTAATTTTTTTCTAGTGCAAACCTCACCTATTGTAAGTACTATGCTTATGTCGTGTATTATTGTTGTTTTGTATTGTCATAGTTAATAAAATGATAGACGTATTTCAGCACTTTTCTTTTCATTTCCCTTTAGTTCTTCATAATATTTTTGGTCGGAAGCTCTTTGAGGTAGGGAGTCGTTATAAAATAACAATCCAACATTGGCTTCGATTGTATTGGCTTCTTTTTTTTTCCTCCACATTTTAACACAGAAAAAAGAAAGAACAGGAAATAAAAATAACTGAAAACAAGTCTTAAAGGAATAAGAAAAGTAAAAAACAATCTCTAGAAATTCAAACAGAAGTGGCTCCGTCATGACCTGAGGATTTCCACTGAAAGAATACTTAAAGTTACTTTGAAATGGAACCTAACTAAGAGAAAGAATTACAGACCAAAGTGATAATGTCAAAAATATATATATATATTTATAAAGCGAAACTCAGAGCAGATCACAAGGCATGCATTAATTAAGAGATATGAATGTAGTTTGAATGAAGAATATGATGATTCGTATTATATAAATATTGGACCATAAGAATAAGTAATATGCGTAAAACTACTTATCGATGTCACGTGTTGTACTTCTTGAATGTGCACAAACCATTAGTTCACCATTGAAACAATACTTTATTATCAAAGGATATTACTAAAAACCTGTTATATTTTTGTTCTAGTTACTGGAATTTTTAGAGTATTTTAATGTCATGTCTCTTTAGGATGTAGATGATCATGGCTCTCCACAGTTTCCTTTCTTTTATTATCTAAGAATTACCATGATTTCTTGAGAAAAATAGTGAAATGATTTTCGATTGTCTTCTCCACGATTTTGAATTCAGAAAAGAGCTTCTCATACACTGGATAATTTTTGTAAATGCCGTCTCTTCGAAACGTAAGTGATCATGGCTCTCCACAGTTTCCTTTACTTTATTATCTATGAATTACCATGACTTCTTGGGAAAGATAGTGATATCATTTCCTATTGCTTTCTCCACGGTTTTGAATTCAAAATAGACCTTCTCATGGACTGGATGCTCATTGTAAATGCCGTGTCACTTTTAAACGTAAGGGATCATGGCTCTCCACATTTTCCTTTTCCGTTATTATGCAAGAATGAACAGGACTTCTTGGGAAAGATAGTGATATCATTTCCTATTGCTTTCTCCACGGTTTTGAATTCAAAATAGACCTTCTCATTGACTGGATGCTTTTTGTAAATGCCATATCTCTTCAAGATATAGGCGATTATGGCTCTCCACAGTTTCCTTTTCTTTATTATCACCGATATCTCATTACTCTCTTGAGGAATATAATGGAATGATTTCTTATGACCTTTTCCACGGTTTTGAATTCAGAATAGACCTTCCCATTGACTGGATGCTTTTTGTAAATGCCATATCTCTTCAAGATATAGGCGATTATGGCTCTCCACAGTTTCCTTTTCTTTATTATCACCGATATCTCATTACTCTCTTGAGGAAGATAATGGAATGATTTCTTATGACCTTTTCCACGGTTTTGAATTCAGAATAGACCTTCTCATTGACTGGATGCTTTTTGTAACTGCCATATCTCTTCAAGATATAGGCGATTATGGCTCTCCACAGTTTCCTTTTCTTTATTATCACCGATATATCATAAAACTCTTGAGGAAGATAATGGAATGATTTCTTATTACCTTCTCCACAATTTTGATTTCAGAACAGTTCTTCTCATAGATTGACTGCTTTTTATCAATGCCATATCTCTTCAAGATATAGGCGATTATGGCTCTCCACAGTTTCCTTTTCTTTATTATCACCGATATCTCATTACTCTCTTGAGGAAGATAATGGAATGATTTCTTATTACCTTTTCCACGGTTTTGAATTCAGAATAGACCTTCTCATTGACTGGATGCTTTTTGTAAATGCCATATCTCTTCAAGATATAGGCGATTATAGCTCTCCACAGTTTCCTTTTCTTTATTATCACCGATATATCATAAAACTCTTGAGGAAGATAATGGAATGATTTCTTATTACCTTCTCCACAATTTTGATTTCAGAACAGTTCTTCTCATAGATTGACTGCTTTTTATCAATGCCATATCTCTTCAAGATATAGGCGATTATGGCTCTCCACAGTTTCCTTTTCTTTATTATCACCGATATCTCATTACTCTCTTGAGGAAGATAATGGAATGATTTCTTATTACCTTCTCCACAATTTTGATTTCAGAACAGTTCTTCTCATAGATTGACTGCTTTTTATCAATGCCATATCTCTTCAAGATATAGGCGATTATGGCTCCCCACAGTTTCCTTTTCTTTATTATCACCGATATCTCATTACTCTCTTGAGGAAGATAATGGAATGATTTCTTATTACCTTTTCCACGGTTTTGAATTCAGAATAGACCTTCTCATTGACTGGATGCTTTTTGTAAATGCCATATCTCTTCAAGATATAGGCGATTATGGCTCTCCACAGTTTCCTTTTCTTTATTATCACCGATATATCATTAATCTCTTGAGGAAGATAATGGAATGATATCTTATTACCTTCTCCACGATTTTGATTTCAGAACAGTTCTTCTCATAGATTGACTGCTTTTTATCAATGCCATATCTCTTCAAGATATAGGCGATTATGGCTCTCCACAGTTTCCTTTTCTTTATTATCACCGATATCTCATTACTCTCTTGAGGAAGATAATGGAATGATTTCTTATTACCTTTTCCACGATTTTGAATTCAGAATAGAC